ACACATGAATGCAGAAGAAGCAATTCATGACTATAAACACAGAATCGAAAAATTGGACATAGAGAGAGTTATGTTCAACATTATATCTCGAAAACCAAATGCAGCAACAAATGGAAAGAAGATGATATCTAGCCAGATATACATCAACCAACCTGCTGACAGCAGAGGATATGTTAAAGAGGACAATGAAGATGACCCTACAATGGATGAGCCAGAAATGGTGGGGACATACAGCGAAGAGCAATGTACCACCCCTTTGACTCGTTTGAAGCCTGCAATGGAAATGATGAGAGGTCCAGCAGATCGGCCACCTCCTGCTGGCAGAAAAGACTTATCCTAACTTAACCATCAGGATGATGGTCTTAAGGAGGGGGTAATGTTACAATTTTTCCTATTTTCTTTTCTTTTTCCTTTTCTTTTTCTTCAGAAATGACCCCTATCTTTGCTTAGTCAGGGTGCTTAGGCCAGCACTTAGGACTGTGGGAACACTTAGCTCAGCAACCCAGTTGGTCACTCTCCTATTGCAATGCTGTGTGCTGTGAAGGGAGAGACAATGTCCCTTTTGTCCTTCAATTGCAGTGCAGCAGTAACAGCATAACAGCAAGACAACAGCTATTGTGGAGACCTGACAACAGCAGGGGGAAACAGCTCTATGACAGACAATATCTTTTGTGAACATTTATTTATAGCCAGATAACAGAACAGTATTTAAGTTGTTTAGTTCTCACTGTAATACCTCAGTCTCGAACTAAAGTTTATTCTCTACTATCCTATCTCAAGTGACTTGCAACTGCCTTGACCACACACCTCTATTGACACATCAGTGAACTCAGTCAGTCTAACCTGAAGTGCGAGGTTCTGAACTGTTTATCATGTGTTGATAGTCACATGGAGTTTGGGCTTAACAGGATCAGGGAAGATGAAGGTTGGTCATATTGAGCTAAACCTTATCACCTACAGAATATTCATGAGCAGGACACCAATATTTGTTGTATTGTTATTTCATGGAGGCTGCTGTTTTTTCAAGTACAATATGGGTTTTGTTGTGGATTTTGGATATGGTCTGAGCAAAATCTGTAGAGGCAGGAGTGGACATGCATTGTTGATAAGATAAGAAAAAGAACAAGATATGGAGAAAATTGTAACAGCCTGATATTACTCCAAATTCAATATTTGATGGGGATACAGTAACATGCAGATTAAAGAGGGAGACAAGTGGAAGGCTGCATTCCAAACCAACTGTGGACTCTTCAAGCCCACAGTCATGTTCTTTGGGCTAACCAATTCCTCTGCCACCTTTCAATGGATGATGAACAACATCTTCAAAGATCTCATTGCCACAGGAAAGATCATAATCTATTTGGATGCCATCTTAATCATGTCAAAGGACTGAGACAAACACCACTGTCTAGTCCACCAAGTACTGAGGCTGATATGTAAGCACAAGTTATTCCTTAAGGCCAAGAAGTTCAAGTTCAAGGTGCTTAAAACTGAGTATCTCACAGTGATTTCAGTGAAGAAAGCATCTGGATGGACCCCATCAAGGTGGCAGGGGTAACTGAGTGATGGAAACTGACTAAGAAGAAGGAATTACAGTCCTTCCTCAGATTTATAAACTTTTACCACTGGTTTATCTGAGATTACAGCAAGATTGTCTGTCCCATAATCCAACTCATGGAAAATGCCTCTTGGACCTGGAGAATAGCTCAACAATCTGCATTTGATGATCTAAAGAGGTGATTTGCTGAAGATATGGTACTTGCAGTACCAGTGGAAACAAAGGAGCTAGGATTGAGAGAGTACTAGTGACTGAAAATAGGACAGGATATTGAAAAGTATGTGAAGAGGTGCAAAACTTGCCAATGAACCAAGTCAAGCATGCAGGCATGAGCCACTCCACTTTATCCAAACAAGGTTTCCAAGGAATAATAGACCCATATCTCACTTGACATGGTCACTGGGCTCTCAGACTGTAATAGCTACAATGCTATCATCATCATCATCAACCAGTTCTTATAGGCAATTATTCTGATTGCATGTTCCACAGAGCTGTCTTCCAAAGGGTGGGTGAAGATACTACATGATGAAGTTTATGCAAAACATGGGATGCCCCAGACTATCATTTTGGACTGTGGTCTGCAATTTGTCTCCAAATTTCTCAATGATTTCTATTATCTTCTAAATATCTGAAGCAATATATCAACTACTTATCACCCACAAACTGATGGGCAAACTGAGCACATCAATCAAGAAATCAATAAATACCTTCAGATGTTTATCAATCACAGACAGGATGATTGGACTGAGTAGCTTGCTCTGGCAGCATTCCAGCACATTAACCACATTCACTCTACTACCAACAAGATCTCCTTCTTCATTAATCATGGACATCATCTCTATGTCATAGTCACTACCTGATACAACACAACAATCCTCACATCATCAGATTTTGCACAACTCATGATCATGATCCACACCAAAACACACACCACCCTTGAGAAGGCCACTGCTGCTATGAAAACACAATATGATAAACACCAATGACCTGCTCATGAATACTCCTTTGGTGACAAAGTCTGACTGGATGTCAGCAACCTTCATCTTTCTCACCTGAAACACAAACTGGCTGACAAATAAACTGGACTATTTCTCATGCTTGCAGAAGTTGGTGCTTCCACATACCACCTAAAGCTGCCTGACTCCTGGTGAATACACCCAGTTTTCAATGAAACACTCCTCACTCCAGACATCATGCCTGTCTTTCCAAACCAAGAAGCTCTGCCTCCTCCTGAGCCAATCCTAATTGAAGACAAAAAACACTATAAAGTTAAACAGATTTTGGATCATAAACTCCACAAAGTTTGAGCCTGTGGTGGTGGCAGTCACACCATCATCTACTATTTAGTCAAATGGAAAGGCTATAGACCTGAATCCAACCAATGGATCCATGAGTGAGACTTGAATGTGGATGATGTCATTCATGACTATGAAATTTCCATCAATTGACTCATTGGAACAATGGTCTTAAGAGGGTGGTGATGTTACAATTTTCTCAGTATCTTTTTTCTTATCTTATCAAGGTGTCTATCTTATTCTGAACACTTTCTTGAAGGGCATGGGAAGATTGGGTAATCACATCAGACAGAGTGCTATTGTACTTAGTTGCCTTGCTCACAGACAATTCCCCATTGTCTTGTCCCCAATGACTAGGCAGGATTGGTATTGTAGCACAGACCAGTACAATAGGCAGTAGTTATATTTATTACAAGCTGGATGGTATATAAATAGGATAGCTCTTGCTGTAGTAGTCCAGCTTCAAGCTAAAGTTTATCTCACACCATCTTCTCTCAAGCCTAGCCTGTCTTTGGCCTTGAAGCACTTCACCTATTAGAACACATTAAGTGGACTCTAGTATGACTGTACAAACATGATGCAGTGCTAGTTTATCATGTGTTCAGATCATGTGCCAGTTAGGTCTAACAGTTAAGATTTGAGCTTGCTCTGAGCATTGCTTAGGACTTTTTGAGGCTTTGTGGAAGTGTTTTGAAGTATTGTGTTGTGTTACAGTACTCTTGCCTTGAGGCCTGATGACATCTGTTATCCATCTTATTACACAAAAGCTTTGAGACTTAGAAAGATCTTGATTCTCTACATACAATATTGCTACTTGCATACTATGGATTGTTAAAGAGACAATTGTATTAGCCATTGCTACTCCTGTCAGATTAGAATCCCCCAACAAACTTAGAGAGTTGTGTGTCTGTATATGTGTGGGTATGATCAGTGTATAGTTGTACACTGTAGCAGTTTCTAGCTTGTGCATGCAGCCTCTTCAGTATACATGAGCCTCTCTGTCAACCAGACAATCCTTTTTATCTATTAAGAATTTGACATTCATTCCTTGATTCTTGAAAACAAGCAAGCTTTGAAATGGTGAATCTTGGATCACTGGAATAGCTAGGTCCTGCTCAGTCCATGTTGTGTCTAATGATGGCAGCAATGTCTCTAGATGATTATCACTGTCTGCTCTTGAAAACACCATCTCATGAAATCCATCAGCCTCTTCCAAAAGACAGCTTCTTTCATGGATCTGAGCCTCTTTAATGCACACATCCTTTAATCATTGGGATAAGTATTCAAGAGCCAATGCCTTTAAGATATCTCTTGCTACTGATGAATTGGCAATGGATATCTAGCTTTTACACAGTGGGGGATAGCATGAGGGTAGGAATAATAAATTCCTTAATGGTGATGGGTGTGGAAAAAGTGAGAGTGGTTGAGTTGCACTTGGAATGGCAAAAGAGATCAATCAGATGGAAGTAGTTGATGGGTTTCAAAGATGCCACTGGAAGGATTGTGAAGAGGGATTCACCTTCTTGCAATAGAATATCCAATTGCTGGAGCCAGGAGAGGGATGTAGTTGAATATCACAGGGATTTTATCAGCTCAACAGGTATTTTCCAAGACAATGACAAATGAGAGTCATGTGGTGCATATTGGGGTAGGTGATTGATGGCATATTAGGAGAGAAATCAGCAATTGTTATAGCTATTGTTATGATGAATTCAGTTAGACATTGCGCCCAGAATTCTTTACTGATCAGCAATGAACAGATGACAAAGGTCTCAGAAATCGTGCTTCTGTTCTAGCATGGAGAAGGGATACCTGATGGTGGGGACCTTCCTTGTATGCATCTTAGGCAGGTCCTCAGACGAGAGCTCCTGGCAATTGACGGCATCGCAAAGACAGTTTTCTGTCCGCAAACTTTTCCAGTACCCACCTATGGCAGAGAATTGGAATTACTGAACTCAATTCAGAGGTAGCAAGCATACATCTCGACTTTGATGATCGTGACAACACATGCTGCCTCTCTGAAGTCGCTATCCTGAGCTAAACCATATTACAAAAAGAAAATACATCATCGTCTTCAGCTTCAGTAATGAAAGATACAGTAGACACTCTGAACCAAACAAGATACCTCACAAAGATACTCGCACTTGTCAATACTCAAATCCCTCAAGACGTATGCTCTCCCGCCCAACACCAGCCCCAACCAACCCATCAACGACACACTCCCGATACCCCTCAGGCCCACACACAAACACCTCCCTCCCCGTCCACACCTCCCGCCCCTCCAAGAGAAACCCAGCCGTCACACGCCCCCGATGTACTATAACGCTCCCCAACTCCAGAGCCAGTTCGTTGGTAAATATATGCACCGCCAACCTATCACGCCTCGGAATCAGCGGAACCAACACACCCGGCTCCCTAGTCGACAACACCAACACCACATCCCACTCATCCCCACCCCCACCCCCACCCAGACTGTTCAACATACTCAAAAACGGCGTCAGCCCAATCCCACCAGCGAACAACGCCAACTTCCTCTTCCCACTCTTAGGGAGGGTAAAATCCCCCGTAACACCCACAATCGGCACCGACAACCCCAACGACCTCATATCAGCCAACAACCCCGGTTTCACGTCCGCCACCCTCCGCGCAAGCGAAAACAACGCTCCCGTAGCCGCACCACCAGGTTTCTCCCTCACGGTAATCGCAAACTCCAGCGTAGGCCCCACATGCGAGGAAGATACTGTCCATGTACGAATACGATCGTCGTTCACCGACGTCGGGTTACCCGGCGCCATATGTCTGTATCCTGGATGCCCTATAAACCCGGAAAAGTCGAGGATGATGGCTTGGCCGGGGATTATATCTAGGTCGCGGGAGGAGTCCCACGTGAAGGTAGCGATAGTCGGGCTGTGGAGCGTGATAATTTTAAGTGCGGCTGTAGCGGGAGAGTCGTCATCAAACCGGAGGACCGGTGCAGACTCTTCAACGAGATGTCGTACAGGCGGACTATAAGGACTGAGCTCAACAGACGTCCCCGGGCGCTGTCGAACGGGAAGAGCATCCCTCACAAAGATATACCCCGTCACATAAATAGTCGTCAGTCGCTCTTGAAGGAAGATGAGCTTCTGCGCATCTGGTCCAATACGATTTTGAGCACGACCAGTTACGTAAAGGATATCCCCCCTCGTGAACGAGATAAAGGTGAGAGATGCGAGAGATGTGGCCTCGACGTTCCCAAGGGAGGTCATGATGCGGTTTCCAGAAAAGTCAGGGAGAACGAGGGTACGTTTGTCTACGGGCCGGACGCGAATGAACCCAGGTCTTCCGCCACGGATATTCATACCAAGGTGAGATGGAAATCGGCTCGCTTCATCCGCGGTTGCAGCGTAGGTAGTGCCAAAGAAGGTCGTATCGCAGGAGTGAACGAAGGAGACGACGGAATCAGGAAGTTCTTCATCGTTCCGAAGATGGCGCTTGTCGTAAACCATCGTTGGCGAGCCTTGGTATGGCACGAACTCTCGGAGAGGAATATACTTTGGGCAGTTCCTGGAGCAAAACATCAATCTATGGTCTTCGCATGCACAAAATAAACCATACCCAATGGCCTCATTCACATGGACCTCAAACCGGTATCCGTCATCACACCCCTTTCCCTTCGTGATCTTCCCCGCAAATTTATTCCTGCGACGTGTCGAAAACTCCACCCCAATACCCGCCATCAGCATCTCACCATCCCCAGAATCTCTCGCGTTCCTGATGAACGGATCGCCGTCCCAAACTTTGACATTAAATGATAGCGTTGTATACCTCGGATTCGAGATAAAGCCCGGCTTGCCATCTGCGCCAGCAAGGATGGACCCCCACGGTCGTCCCATCGAATCCAGGGTCGTAACAGGGAGAAACGGGAGTAGTGTCGAGTAGAAAACACCATGGTCAGGGGGAAGATCACCGTCAACATAGGTGTACAACCAGTTGAGGGAGTGATCCTTATCGAAGCCCAGTTTTTCGCGGATTGAGCGTTCACCGGGGTGCCAACCGTAAAGCGACATGCCTACAACGAAGTGATGAGAAGAGCGTTTTATTAGAAAGATTTCATGCTTACCTTCGGTGGCCGACGCCAAATTGTATGTCATCTCACTCAGCATGATGTCATTGGATGACCTTCAATAGAATTGAAAAAGGATATGCACGTGAGCACTCGACGTCGACAATGGCTGTAGCAGGAGAAAGCTGCATTGTCACGCAAGAATGACGGGAATGTGAGGAATAGAAGATTATGGCAGTAATGCAGGCCCCTCCTCCTCCAGCAAGAAAGTAGACACATGCACGGTACGAGATAGTCGTTTCTGCAGGTGCATACACTGATCCAGCCAGAAAAGGGGATGTATATGATGGTGTGAGACATCCAACCACATCAATCAGTTGCTGGTGACCGTTTATTCGTTCCTTCGAGCGTATCGACGATGCTGCCTTTCATTGGTGGTGCATTCCAAAGGAGTGCTGTCACGTTGAAGATGCGAGCCAAAATGGTATTGCTCATCACTGCCTGGCGAGAATCAGGTCCACGATACAACACCGTTTCAGAGAGTTGGCGTCGTCACCAACCACAAGCCATATCCTACAGCGAAGGTCAGGCATAGGAAGAAACCAGTTGCACTACTGGACGTACAGCAAAAGTAGATCTGTCCTCATTTATATCGTACTGAGCGCCCGTCGCGTTGGGAACCTGTGCATAACGATGGATTAGAAGAGAATCAACATGAAAGATGAGACGCTAATCAGGTACAGTGTACCGCAAAACACCGATATCAGAGTCTAGCATGGAGATCAACAAATTTGACAATGAGACGAACAAAATTTAACGCACACGAATCAGCCTTTTGAACGTAAACTCCTCGTAAACTTTGCCCTCGAAACATCTCATTATCCACGAACATAACAAGTCGTGTCTCCAAGACGTCGCTATGACTAACGAGGAATAAGAGACAACGATATGAGGAATACAGGGAAATGTTCCTTCTTCTTGCTTGACACAGCTCACAAGGGCAGAAGACTTGGCGGAACAACAAACGGGGGTTACTGTCTCCGCTTATCCTCGAAACGCCAAGGATCAATTTCCATGCGATGACGCTGGCCTTCGTCTTGGGGTCGGAAGTAAGAACGCCTCGATATGAGAATCTGGTCTATGCATTTGTCAGGGCACCCAAGAAAATGCCGGACAGGTACATACTAGGTCTGGTCCGACGCATATACCGACAATAAATTCAAACAAGAGAACGTTCCGCGCCCCTCATAAAAGACAGGAATGGTCTAATACGTGTATGGATAAGGAAATAGTCCGAAAAGACGAAAAGCCCACACACCTAGACCAAGTTCATAACTACAATCTGAATACATCCAACGCAAGAGGTCGCTACTGCGATTGAAACTAGGTGGAAATAGCTCAAAATGGTGAAGAAAACCTAGGGAAACTGCGCGTACCAACCAGAGCATAGGAAACCCATAGCAGTGTGGATGTCCAATAGTCCAAGAACCGTCGCAGAAAACCACGAAATAAGTTGCCATATATCCCACTGTGGCTACGGCTTCTGGTGATATCCAGGAGGGAGTTGTCTTCATCGCCGTCAGTGGTGGTGATAGGTAAGAGTGACGGAACATAACGTGTGAAAGAAGATGGCCACTGGGAATCGCGCTGGTCCCAGAAATATCCAGGAGGGAGTTGTTATTGCTATAGCAGTGGTGATGATGGCGGTTCATCAAGAAGGTGCGAAGCGAATATCAAATTTGCATTTAGGACCGCCGAGCCATGTTTACCGGCAGTAAAGTGCAGAGTGCCGAGCACTCATTGAGACTTGAATATTTATTGTAGAAAAGGGTCCAGACGTGAGTTACTTCAATCTGTCATTCTGGAACTAATACATTGATCCTATTGGCTTGCTTCCCAAAGAGTTGTGACTGTCACCAAGGAAAAGACAGGAAACATTAGTAGCTATCATCTTCAGGTATTGTAGGAAAAAGTCCCTTTTCAAGGAGCCAATATCAATGTATGCTTCTTCTGGCTTGTGAATAAGTGGACTCTAAGCTGCACACAAGGTCCACCACTTCTCAAAGAGCTACACCAATGAAGAGGTACAACTGTAGGATGTATTGTGATGCTGATTTCTTGCTTTGTCAAAGGAGTATATCCTTGTGTTCTATGATAAGAATCTGGATACTGAACAAATGAAAGTAGCCTAACACCCACAATCACTATTCACAGCATCATAACCAATTCACCCATTGTCTATGAGCCTCACTCTAAGAAAGTGCTGCATGTTCATAGGACCTAATAATACACTGTTAGCTATAATGTAGACTACAGGATACTAGTCAGTAAGATATATGAAGTAATACAAGTACATACTCACCCTCACACAGTGTAGTGATAAACAGAAACATATTGAGGGTGCTTGATAGTCTATATTCAGTATATATTGTCCATCCCAACATAAAGGGGTATCAAGCTCAACTGGTGGAATATGACAGAGCTCCTGCTTGCTAATCCAACACTAACATACATACAACTGAGGGTAGCTCTCTACAAATACTGGGCTTAGAGGAAGATTCTTGGGACACTGCATGAGCAGATAGGCTATTGTTCACTATTCAGAGTCAATTATTGATGAAGTGATACCAAGCAGGCCTTGGCATTAGCATGTGTTCTAGGGTCATATACTTGCTATATCCCAGCTTCTGATGTAAAGTCTCTTCACAGAATATGAATGAAAGGTTCAGAACATTCACAGTATCTCACAGAGCATGTGACAGACTTAGCATTAGTATTGACCTGTAGTTCTAATTCAAGGAGAAAAATTACAGCTCTTTTTGAGACTGTTTCAATGCATGGCTTCAATATCATGGTCCCTAGCAGTGAAGTGAAAAAGAATGTTCAGCATCTCTCAGGCTGTTAGAAGTAGCATGAGAATATTGATCTTTATTTGGACTCTGACCATCATCAACCTCACTCAATTGAAAGAATCTGACTCATACTACTATATCCTCCTATATGAAGATTATCTCATTTTTAAATCTGGATCTCCCTCACACCTCTAAAATGTCTTCATCAGTTTTTTTTTCAAGAAATGGTCTGCACCTTTCCTTTTGTCCTGATCTCCTTTAACAAACAAAACCATCCAAAATACCTGTTCTAAATGTGAGTTTAATGCTATACACTCTTACACTCCTTCTATCAATGATATTGAGCTCCTGCAATCTAGAGCCTCATCACTCAATGTCTGTCAAGTCTCTGTCTTGAAGAACATCACCAGCTATGAGCAGGAACTGTAGAAAATCAAGTTTCTCTTCATAAAAATCAGAGATTGCCATGACAAGATTCTCAAGGTTCTTGGCTGCTGCAAAGCCCTCCTGGTGCTAATAAAGCTGATTAAGATCACTATCATCAAGTAGAACAAATTGAAGTGGCTATCCACAAAATTAAGATTAGTCATATTGAGAGACTAAATACACCTCACTGCATGGAGAATTCAATATTATAGCTTAAAATATTGAATTCTATAATTATTTATTCTTTAATATGTGAAATTCTAATATTAAAATAATATTTAAAATAATCCACTGATGTTTTAGACTGAAAGCTGGAAAAAATAAATAGTGATTAGTTTAAATTGAAGAATATGTAAGGGTCATAAACAGTGCTGATGGACAGAAGAGATTTACTACTTATATCAAGCACAGTGAAGGTGATGAAGTGACCCATATACTAAGATCCAAAGTCAGATTGAAATCCAAGTCAGAAATAGACTGAATAAAAAGGTTGAGATATATAAAAATATCAATATAGTGCAAATATTTTCTTGAATTAATGCAGTCCATAGAAATGCTCACATGAGAGTGAAAATTAAAATATTGGAAGCATTAGCATAGTCCAATTCCTCCAAGATCATGTGTTGCATTGCTGTAGATTCCCACTTGTTCATAGCTACAACTGAGACCATCACTATCCATTGCCAATGCCCTCTCTTGGACCTAGTGATATGGTTCCAATATCATCAAACAACTCCTGTAATCTAGGTAGCAATTGCACAAGGAGCAGCCTCAACAAGATATGAACTTGGAGTATGTAATTTTTATCTCTTTGGCTGTTGGAGACATGACAGACATATACCAGAACACAAAGCCTGAGCAAAAAGAGGTATTACCAGAAAGGTCTCATTCAATCTTCTGCAGAAGGTATGAAAGAGATAAACAGTAACACAGGTCCTTGGAATTGAGAGCCCAGTCTTGGTCATTATAATACAATCACTCTGTGACTGTCAGCATGGTCGCTGGAAGAAAAAGGCTGATGATCTGAACTTGGCAATCTTTCCAGCTGATATTCCCTTCCAAAAGACATTCTCGATGATATGTTTTGGTCCTTGTGCTTTAATGGATTCGAGAAATGTTGAGTGGCCCAGCATATCATTTCTTTAACTATAACAGAACAGAAATGTAAGAAACTCACTGAAAATTCTGCTTTGAGCAGTGAGCACATAGTTCTCAGATCATGCATATCTGGTGGCTATGAAAACAGTATCATAATGTTATATAATGACTATGAATTATCAACAACAAATGAGCTTGATGTAAAGGTCAAACCAGATAAGATGTGATACTGAATAAATGGCCAAGGTTGGATGGGTTGAGAGGAGTGTGCAATGCCTTCCTTGATCTTTATGCTGGAGTATAACTGTCAATGATCAGAATTCTGGGAGAGAACAGAGGATAGGGATATCCTTCATGGTAAACTATTGGATGGAATAGTGGTCACAGTGCTATGCCATGAGGTGATATGCTATAGGATCTTCAGCATATATAGTAATGGAGTTCTCTGCATTGCTGCTAAGACACACCAGTGCTCGATTGTGAATGATCACAAAAGAAAGCTTAGTAGAATAAGATAGTAGGGTACCAACAATGCACAAGTGTCATCAACACTTTGTGAATCTAGGATTTGAACTTGAAGGATGTGTCCTAGGCCTATCACTAAGCAAATGCTCTTATGCTTCATATCTGAATAAACTTGGATGTGATAAGCATATTCTACTTAGAGTCAGTACAAACCTCAGAGGCAATAATAAAGCATTGGTCCTATGAAGAGACACTGCCAAGGAGAAGAAAGAAATGATTCATGGGAGTATGAGCTGATGCCCACAAGTATATGTCCAATAGTGATGATATTATTCTCACCATAACTGACATTTGATCCTAACAATGTCTTCACTGGGGTCAGTGGAAAATTTGAAAAGGGATGCTCACTGCACACAGCCATCAATTTTCATGTGTAAAATATGCTTGGAAAACCTGATTCCTGTTCATGAAACAGTCAAACCAGTGGAATGGGCAGATCATCTATGGTTGGAAAGAATCAAAGTGAAGATGAAAAAAATGCATCTGTGGTAAAGATAGCTATCAACATCTATTGGATTATCACATGACAATTAGGCCTAGGTTATCATGGCACAGTTACCAGTAAGGCACCCATGCTTGAAAAGGGATCGATTGGCTGATGGAGCCACAGCCAATGACATGATTTTGAGTGGTAGGTGTTTTCTGACATTGGATTCAAAAACTCACATGTATTACCATGTTTTTTTGAGCTCTGAGGGCTCACATATTACAGTAACATCTAGTCTCTATCTCTGTCATGCATTTACCATGGTTCTGATCCATAACAAATTCAGATAAAATGCTTGTCACTAAGGGTGCAGTCCCAGACCTTTTAGGGAAAATGAAGGAGGCCAAGATTCTGATACATGAACACCAGTGCTTGAACAATACTGAAATGAATTACATCAAACTTGTGCCTGGTCTATCACCTTCAAAGCCTGGATATCTTAGCTAAATATGAAACTTGACAGATCAGCCAGTAGGTTGCCTAAGAATATGGTAATATTGTGGGAGAAGAAAAATCTGACCATTGCATCACTGGCCCATGGATATCTAACACATGTTTGTTTTTTAAGGAACTGGATAACTTGTGGCTCAGTGGTGGCTTGGGCCATTTCGCTTTTCACATTACCTCATGGTCATTATCATTGCAGATCTAAGGCTAAACTCTGACAATTGCCCAGTTCCTGTCAGGAAAACTTGATGTTAAGTGGATATTCAGCAGTGATGCATGCCACAATTAAAATATGAGATGCACCAAGCTGTGAGATGCACTGGTAATGAAAGAGATCAGTTATTTCTGGAACACCAGACTGAAACCAGGATGCAGTGGTGGCTGTTTGTAACACTCATGCTTCCTCATTTACCATGACCATGTGGATACTAGGCTCTCATACCAGAGATTAGAGAGCCTCATGATATTGCAAAGGAAATTTTCTGATGCCTCATAGATCTCAGTTCCTATCCATCTCAAACCCAAAGTATCAACTGGGAAATGGATGCTGGTTTTCTTGGGTGGTGGCCAGGGTATCAGAAGAGAACAGTTGGTGATCTAGTAGGTAAGTTTTTCTGTCCTTGTTCTAGATGCCATGCTAATTCATCACCAGCTCAGAGATTTCATGAATGCCAGTTTTTGTTCCAGTGAACTCTACAGGATCATGCCACAAGCCTGCAAATTTTTTTTTCTCCAATGAGACCCTCTGCAGTTATTATTGACTGGTCATCCTTCAAAG